TCTAACCCCCCCCTGCTCCCTGTCCCTGACTGTCCCAATCCCTCTCCACACCCCTGCCCCCCTGACAGCCCCCCCTCCCCACCCGAACTCCGGACCCATCCAACCCTCCTTCCTTGTCCCCTGACCAGGGCCGACTTTAAAGAGCCCAGGAATCGGGCTGCGCTCTGGCGGGAGCTCCGCCTGGGGTTGCGGGGCTTGGAGCCGAGCCGCGCGCTCAGCTAGAACTGGGCTGGAGCCGCCGGAGCCAGGGCCGGCGCTGCTGGGGCCCGAGCCGGGCTGGGCCGGGGGTGCTCGGCCGGCACCGGGCTGGCGCACTCGGCCGGAACTGGGGCCGCCGCACTGGGGCCCGAGCTGGGCCGGAGCTGCTGGGGCCGCCGGGCGCCGCTCGGCCAAATCCGCGCCTCCCCGGAGCTCTCCTCCTTGCGCCCCCCCGCCCCAGCTTACCTGTGGCCTCCCACCTGCCCCTGCTTCTTTTCAGACTTCCCGCCAATCAATACAGGCACAAAAGATTCAGGGGATTACAGCTGTGTATAAGCATATGACACTAGCATTCTAATAATGTACCTGTTAATCACAAACACCAACTTGACATAGCTCACTGCCAGAGAATTTAGCTTGCATTTGTTTTCCTCTTACTCTTTGTGTGTGTGGTGGGGGGGGAGGTTTGAAGGCTACTGAGCATCACAGTCTTACAAAGACAATGATCTTAAATGCCACCCTGCCTGACTGCAGCCTGACGGTAGGGTTAGTGCTCTGTGGGCATCTGAACAATTCATGATACAGGTATTTACATTGGGACAATAGCAACACAACATGACAAGTTGGAAAGCACACTACTTGATGTAGGACTACCCTCTTCAGTTGAAAAGCCATCTTGTTCGTTACAGAGCTGAGAAAAATAAAAGAGGAAGGAAAAGCAGTGCTTTGATGCTCTGACTGAAACCAAATAAAAATACCCTTGCTTTTTTAAAGCAAATGTTGAACATACACAGAATAGATTTAAAAAAGAAAGAAAGAAAACTGCATTATTTATAATTGGCTTGCAGACAGCCATCTCAGTTCAAAATGTGCCCAAAGTATATTTATACATTTCAGTTATTCAGGCTGGAGTAATAGGATTATCATGTTTTAAACTTAAAATTATTTGTTATACAAGAGGAAGCTCCGCATTCAATTAGCGCTCTGAGTTCAAAGGGCAAAAATCAAAATTTTCCCTTACCTTCTCCAGAACAGATCCCTTGAACAATTTCATTTTTTATCTTTTTCAAGGAGTCAAACTCTTGCACAAAGAAAGTCCTGCTCTCTGACCCTGCAATCTCATGGAGCTGTGCTTCATTTGCACCTTTTACACCAATGGCATAAATATTAACTTTCTCATTCCTCAGTCTCTCAGCAGGCTCCTTCACACTGTCATGTGACTCCCCATCTGTTAGGACAATGAGGTAACAAGGCACCCTGCCAGCTCTCTGCTCCCTTGCCCTTTTAAACAGTGGCTGCATGAAAGTCAAAGCTTCTCCAATATGGGTATCCCCATATATTTGCCTAATGTTGTCGATGGCCCTTTCTAAATCATTTGTTTTGCTGTATTCATCAAGTTCAAACTCCAGTCTTTTGTCATGTGAGAACTGCACAGCTCCAAAGCGAACTTTATTTGGCCCTATGTTAAACATCTTAATCACTTCCTTCAAAAAATTTTTGATGTCTCCGAAGGGAGCAGCATCAATGCTTGTTGAGCCATCAATGAGGACATAAATATCAGCTTCCTCTGTGTCCACACATCCTACATGGAAAAATAAATTGTATACAGCATTAGTGTGAGAAGAAAATGTAAAGCGAGAAACACAGAGAAGCACCAAAGCATATAGACTTGTAATTAGGGCCCAGAGTCAACGAGTATTTATACAATGACACAAACCTAGGTGGAGTTCCACAGCGGCAGAAAATCTGCCAGAGAGTGAGGTTATTATGGTGCAAAGTGGCTGTAACCTCAATGTAAAGTAACAATGTCTGAGAAATGCTGGTTATTTATCTTTTGATAACTGGAGTTCAGGTTATGATCCCTATCTGTATGCCACCTGAGATGTGCATGCACTTCATGTGCCTAAGACAAGAAGATTTTTCAACAGCAGTGTTTCTTGGTCTGTATCTGTGCCCATCACTTCCTTGTGCTCCAATTCAAGGCATAAGGGACCACATGGATTGACCACATCTCCAGTTCCTTTTCTACCATGAATAACCCAAGGAAGGGATCAGAAGCAGATAGGAAGGAGGGTGGGAAGTGGAATACAGATTGGGACCACACATCTTGAAGAACACCAGTTACTGTAAGGTAAGTAACCAGAATTTCTTCAAATGACGGTCCCTTGGTGTATTCCATTCAAGGTGGCTCACAAGCAGTACTCAATTAGAAGGGCGCAAGGAACGCTGATGTGTTTGGCAGCATGATCCTGCAATCTGAAAGGATACATCTGCTGAAGAAACTCATTCTAGGGCATAATGCCTAGTAAAAATGTGCATACAGCTCCATGTTGCCACTCTACAGATCTCCAGAAGGGGAACTCCATGAAGCAAAGCCACTGATGTAACCTGTACACCTTGTGTGGGAGGGTTCACCGTCAGCTCACAGCTTGATGCAACTTCAAATCCATTTAGAAAATCTCAAATGTATGAAAGGGGAAGCAAAGGAGACAACTAGATTAGGAGTTTCCCTGAAGGGTTCTGTCATCTGT